CCCCGTGCCGCCGCCATGGGGGCCTGCCTGGGGGCCTGCTCCGTGCTCAGCTGCGTGAGTCCTGACCCCCGCGCCCGCCCGCGCGCCGCCGGCTCCTTCTTCGGCCCCGCACTTTTGTCCGTCTTCTTCCTCCAAATAGTTTCTTCTTTTTCCTTTCTCCAAACTTGTCTTTCTGGGCCCGCACCCCGCCACCTCGCCCCTCGGGTCCCCTCGTCCCTCGGTCCCCCCACCCCCATTCCGGACCCGCGGGCGCCGGGGACAGCTGGTGTCCGGGGCTCGGGTTACCGCGGGGGAGGGGTTGGGGCGCGCCGGGGTGGCGGGGGGAGGGGCGGGCCTTGGGCAGGCGCCCCTCTCAGGGACTGGGGAGACTGAGGCCCAGAGCCCGGGATGGGGGTGCGCGCTGCGGCCCCACCTCGCCCAACTTGGAGACGTCCTCGCCGTGCGCCTGTCGTCTCTCTCGGATATTCTGACTCTTTGTGTGGCCCGCCTGGTCTCTGCCCCACTCTGCGGTGTGTCTTTTTCTGTTCCTCCGGCAATCTGTCCGTCAGTCTGTCTCCCTGCCCGCCTGCCTCAGTTTGCCCATTTGTATTTGTTTGACATCTGTTTCTGTCCGTTCGTTTATCCCACGGTCTTTGTCCGTCCGTGGCTTCTCCATCAGTCATTGTCTGTCTCACGGGGGTCTGTCCGTCTGTCCTACCGTCCAATCTGTCTCTCTGCATCCTTGTCTCTGACTCTTTCAGACTAGCTCACGCTAAGTCCTGGGCACTTCCTCCCAACGAATCCCAGACCCTTCCCCTCTAGGCCCCGGAGCCTGAAATGGGGGTGGGGAGGAAGCCCCCATCCGCCTTCCTAAGCCACCCTTGAGTGAGGTCGGTTTGGGTTGCCAACCGCCACCGGGCCCCGCTCTGGGTTGGAAGACCCAGGAACTGAGGAAGGTCGGAGTGTTGTGGGCGTGGGGCAGTACCTGGTCGCCTGGGCTCGGGGGCCTGGGCTTGGGGACCTCGGGGGCAGCCATACTCTGCTCTGGGGTTGCAGCCAGCAAAGGGGAGGAGCTTCAGCCCGACCCGGCTGAGAGGCCCCTTCTCCTTTCCCTTTTCCCAGCCCCCTCTCCTTTCCCTCTTCCCCTCATTAAATCCGAGGTTCATTCAGGCAGCTCCCTCCCCCTCTGCCCTACACAAAGAGAAACAGAGAGGAAGAGGGGGGTCTGGTGGCTGCTGAATCTCAGGACTTGCTTTCCTTTGTCCCTGATTTGTGTGTGTGTGTTAGGATGGGGTGTGGGGTGGCGAGCTTAAGGATCTAGAGATTTACTTTACAACCATTTTCTGAGAATGGTATCTGCACACAGAGGCTGTAGAGTGGGTCCCTGGACAGTCTCTTGTCCTCTCTGGGCCTCCATTTACCACCTGTGAAGTGTGTGTGTGCGTGTGTGGACACGCGCCCAGAGGAATCAAGAACTGGTCTCTGAGATCCCTTTCTGCCCCCTGCCCAGTGAATTCTAGGTTTGGGCTGGGTCTCTGGCCAAGAAGGGTTTGCTTCCTGGTAGGGGAGGGAGCGCTTCCTTGAAGTTGACCAGATTTCCATTTGGCCGGGCTGGCCTGGGAGTGGCCCGTGTTGAGAGGTGACCTGCCAATCCCCTGTGCCTCTGCCTCCCCAACTGCCTCCTTCATGGTTCGTTATTTGAGGAAAATCGAAAAGTGCCCCACCTACTTCCTGGCGACAGTGAGTGGCGCTATTGTTGTCATCTTCTTGGAAAGGTGGGTGGGGAATTCCTTCTGGAGCCCAAGCCGGCCGCTGAGTCATGGAATCGTACAAATGCTGAGACCAGAAGGCACCTGAAAGGCTTGCTCAAACCCTCAACAGACTGCGGCTCAGAGAGGTTAGCCGACTTCCCAGAGGCTGCACAGAGAACGGATGGGGGACTGGACAGTCAAGATTAAAATCTGATTCCTGGTCCAGGCTTCTGCCCACACCTTCCCTCCCTTCCCATCCCGGGTGTCTGAGGGACAGGGCTGGTCCACTTACTGAGTATTTAATGTCGGCAGGGGACCTGTCCTTCCTTTTAGTGGCCTCCCCCTGGGTTTCTGACCTCTGACATTTACTGAGCTCCTACCACATGCCAGGCGCTGTGCTGAGCCCCTCACTGTGCTGTCTTGTTGGTTCTCCCTCGAGCCCTGTGACATGGTCATCCTGTTTCAGATAATGATACCAAGAGCAGCCCCCATCCCTGCGTCCTCACTCAGGGCCCAGCGCTGTCCAGGGGTGGCACAAGCCAGCACTGCAGTGAGCACTTGCTGTGTGTCTTCTCATCCAATCCAACTAGGACCGCAGTGAGGCAGTTAACATGATTTCCATTTCACAGGTGACAAAACTGGATCAGAGAGGGAAGGTGGTCTCCCCATAGCCACACAGTATTCAGTGGTGCAGTTGGGTCTTACTGGACACCGATAACAACCTATTTCCGGGGCGCCTGGGTGGCTCAGTGGATTAAGTGTCCGACTCTTGATCTCAACTCAGGTCTTCATCTCAGGGTTGTGAGTTCAAGCCCCGCATTGGGCTCCATGCCCAGCGTGGAACCTACTTAAAAAAAAACAAACAGCAAACCAAAAACAACCTGATTCAATGGAGATTTGCTCCACAGGAGGAAAGTTCTAATAGGGGGTTCCTGGGCATCTTTGGGGGAACATTCTGGAGTCTGTGGATCCACGGAGAAGACCTCCAGCCATGACACATTTGCATCTGCCCATCATGCCTTTTGGTCGGCATTTGTATTGGACTGAGGGTGAGTCCTGGCTCAGAGGAGATAAGATGGGCCCACGATGGGATGGGAGTCACCAGGCCAGCCAGTACTTGGTGGGCTGGACGGTGAGCAAATATCTAGGGAGGCCTTGTCTAATATCTGCATGCCATTGAATCTAATTCTCTATCCTCTACATGCAAGGGAGCGTGAAAGGGTCGGAGGATGGGACTCAGATCCTGGCGTGGCCTCTCCCCCGGCCTCGTGACTTCGGGCAGTCCCTTTGTCCCTCTCTCTGGGGTGGAGGGAGTAAGGAAGTGGAGAGAGCAGTGGTGTCTGTCTCTCAGCACGTTGTGAGGATTGAGTGGGACTGAGAGGAGCATGCTGACATACTTAGCACAAAGCTGACCGGCAGCGGCCATTCTAAGCACCCCGGAGTGGGAAAGTGCTCAAGACCACATTTGAGAAGGTGGTGGAGCCGGGGACACTGGGACTGTCTGTAGAGCCTGGGCTCTGAGCCACTTCACTATCCTGCCCAGGAGCCCATTTTATGGCTGAGGAAACTGAGTCCCACGGCGGGGAAAAGAGACCTGTCTAAGGTCATCCTACAAGTTGGTGGCAGCGCCAAGACTAGGCCCTCTCTTCTTAGCGCTGCACGGGGATGTACGTGTGGCCTGAGTAGTCTGGGGGCTGACCTCTTATCTGCTGTGCTTCCTCTAGCCCCAGGGTGGCTCGGGCTGTTCACGAAGCCTACAAGGTGCACCCCATCCTTGCTGGGACCAGTTTTTTGTCTAATTGTGGCAAAATGTATGTCACATAAAAATTTACCATTATAGGGGCACCTGGCTGGCTCAGTCAGTAGAGCCTGTGACTCTTGATCTCAGGGTTGTGAGTTCGAGCCCCACGTTGGGTGTAGAGATCACTTAAAAATCAAATCTTTAAAAAAATTTCCATTGTAACATTTTTTTTTAGTTTTCAAGGAGTTTGTAATTTATCTCATGATATATGATATATATATCATATATAAAAATATATATATAGATTTAAAACGGTTATCTATTTTTATGATATCAAAATGATATCATCCCAAATGAACAGTAGCGTCTGAAGGGGGAAATATTGTGGGTTGAAGCACACAAGAAAAACTCCAGGCTCTGTCTTCTTTCCCTTGGAGTCTGTTCCCCTAGCTCGCTCTCCCTCTTCCCAGAGGTACAGTGCATCTCCGCCTGCATCCGTCTTCCATCTGTGGCCAAAGCGGTCTTTCGGTAATGCAGATCTGATGCTCTGCTTCTCCTGCGGGATGCTTCTCACTGCCTTCAGGATAAAGTGCAGACTCCTTGGCGTGGCCTGCAGGGACTGTGGCCATCGCTTGCATCATCCCTCTGCCTCCTCTTGACAGCTGCCTCGAAGAGACAGTGTTTCTTGCAGCTTTGCCCGTGCTGTTCCCTTTGTAGGAACACCTTTCCCTTCGTCACCTGGCTGACTTCTTACTCTTCCTTGAAAACGGCCCCCTCCTTTTTCCTGATTGTGTTAACATCCACATAACAGAAAACTGACCATTTTAACCATTTTTAAAATTTTTTTAAGACTTTATTTATTTGTCAGAGAGAGAGAAGAGAGAGAGAGAGCATGAGCAGGGGGAGCTGCAGGCAGAGGGAGAGGGAGAACCAGGCTCCCTGCTGAGCAGGGATCCCGATGTGGGACTCGATCCCACGACCCTGGGAACATGACCTGAGCTGAAGGCAGACACTTAACTGACTGAGCCACCCAGGCGTCCCATTTTAACCATTTTTAAGCGTGCAGTTCAGTGGTGTTAACTACATTCAAGTTGTGGGGCAACCATCCCTACCATCCATCTCCAGAGCTTTTTCATCCTCCCCAAATTGAAACTCCCTACCCATTCAATAATAACTCTCCACTCCCCTCTCCCCCAGCCCCTGGGAATCCCCAGTCTACTTTCTGTCTCTGTGAGTTTGACTGCTCTAGGTTCTCATATCAGTGGAATCGAATGGCATTTGTCCTTTGGTGTCTGGTTTATTTTATTTGCTACAATGTCCCCAAGGTTCATCTGTGTTGTAGCAGGTGTCAGAATGTCCTTCCTTTTTAAGGCTCAATAATATTCCTTTGTATGTATATCCCACATTGCGTTTAGTCATTCATCAGTCTATGGACACGCGGGCTGCTTCTACTTTTTGACTATTGTGAATAATGCTGTTATAAACATGGGTGTGCAGATATCTGTTTGAGTCCTTGCTTTTGACTAATACCCAGAAGTGGAGGGTCAGTTTACTTTATTTTTATTTTTTTTAAGATTTATTTTATTTGGGGGCGCCTGGGTGGCTCAGTTGGTTAAGCGACTGCCTTCGGCTCAGGTCATGATCCTGGAGTCCCAGGATCGAGTCCCGCATCGGGCTCCCTGCTAAGCAGGGAGTCTGCTTCTCCCTCTGACCCTCCCCCCTCTCATGTGCTCTCTCTCTCTCTCATTCTCGCTCTCTCACATAAATAAATAAATAAATAAATAAATAAATATCTTTAAAAAAAATATTTATTTGATTTATTTGAGAGAGAGAGAGAGCACATGCACACACCAGAGGGAGAGGGAGAAGCAGACTCCCCACTGAGCAGGGAGCCCGACACAGACCCAGGATCATGACCTGAGCCGAAGGCAGACGCTTAACCAACTGAGCCACCCAGACTCCCCAGGTCAGTTTATTTTAAACAAATCAACTTGAAACTGTGGCCCCAACCCTAGCTGCCTCCCCGCCTGCCCGGTGCCCTAGGAATGGTCCTGAGAACCCACGTCCCTGGCTTTAGGGCAACCAGGAGAGAGTGCGAATGACTGGGGACAGCCTGTTCCCACCATGCCAAACCGCACATGGTTCCAGAGCAGTCCAGCTTGCCTCAGGCGGTCGTGAGCTCCTGGTCTTTGGCAGTGGGTAAGCAGTGGAGGCTGCCTTCCGGGTGATTCTTCATTAGAGAGAGGCTGGACCAGTTGAATGCCAAGGAGCCATGCAGCCTGAAAATCGTAAGACCCAGGGCTTTCTAAGATCTGACTCCCCATTCCAAGAACCTGGCTGCGTTTTGCTGCTCACACGCACCCAGTGGCTTGGGGCCTCTCTGTTGCTGCCGCTGGCCTGAGTGCATTTGGGGGCAGGGGTGTAATCTTAGCCCAGGAGCGATGTTATGTCTGCCTTGGCTTTTCACCTTGCGCCATTAATTTTAGTCCGTGTTGCCCAGCAGCCTGGGGACTTTTTGCTTTCCTGCGCCTGTAACATTCCACGGAGTAAATGGACCACCACGGGCCCCTGGCGCAGGACTTGTAGGTTATTTGCAGTCTCTTGAGATTCTAATAAGCTCATAAAACCTAAAGCTTTGGTTTTTCGTTTTAATTTAAAATTTTTTCTCTTTTAGTAATAAAATCAGCTTTATCGAGGTAGAATTTATATTTAATTGTACTTAGTTATGTGTACCCCTTTAAGTATTACCTACACATCTGCTGCATTCAGCGGAGATCCCTCATAGGGGAGGACCACGATGTATGGATGGGCATTTCGTTATTTTAAGCTTCCCCCTAGTACTTTGCGGGTGTGAGCAGCGCCACACTGAACTTGCGTGTGCGTGTGTGGGTGTGTGCGCACGCGTCCGCCCTTACTCCTGTGAGCTGGTACTGCTGCAGGAAGAGGTTCTTGTGGGAGCGATGCCCCGGGGGTCGAGAGACTGGGTCAGAACGCACGAGGGACTCCAAGGATGCGCCAGCAGCAGCTGGTGGTGGGGGCTGCTGTGTGTTTTTCTCTCCCTGACCACCTGGTCTCTCTGGCTATCGGTCCTTGGGAATCCCGAGGTTTCCCATGTCAGGAACACTGGGCTTTTGATCTCCAAGAATTAGGGTGAACTGAAAAGCCAGGCTCCCCGAGTGCAGTGGGGTGGCTTGTCTCATGTCTCAAATGTCTCCGATTGAAGTGGTAACGAGCCAGAGGCAGGCCCTGACTCGGGCCCTTTAGCACGCGGTTCCTGGGATCAGTGCTCGAGGGCCTCTGTGGGGTTTTCTCTGGCAGCCAAGGGATTGTTTCCATCCCTGGGGTGTTTTGAAATTAAGCAAGACTGCCGTCAATGAGCTAGTGGGCCCCTGGTACAGGCGGACAGGAGCTCGAACCCCAGCTCCTCAGCTTACTGGCTCTGTGACCTTGGTCATGTCACCCCTCCAAGTCATTTTCCCCGTCCGTAAGTGGGAGGTACAACACCCTCCCTGCATAGGGAGTGTCATGTAGATAAGGGGCTTACCACGGTGCCTGGGGCCAAGCACCTTCCAAACAGACGCTCACTCTTACTCCTTGAATCTCAGCACTGCCGTCCACTTGCTGGGTGACTCTGGCACGTTCTTAACTTCTCTGATCCCAGGTTCCTCATCTGTAAAATGGGGCTAATAGCTAGTCTGTCTCATAGCCAGAATGTTCTTTATGGTTTATGAAATATGTTTCTGGCATTTGCTTATCCCTTTATCCCCAAAAGGCAGCCAGGGGTAGGAGGCAGGGCTTGGGGTGAGGGCTGCAAGATGTAACCAGGAGTTGCTAGACCAGTTATGATTTGGACCATGGAAAGGAAATTCATTCTGCAGGCGTTTCGTTTAGCAAACATGTTGTACTTGCTTTGTGGGTGAGAGAGATGGGTATCCAGGGGCGTTTCCACTCTTGGGAGGAAGGGAAGGGGAGACGGGAGGGCAGCTACACCTCAAGCAGAGTGTAGCTTGGGACCAGAGTGCACACCTTGGGACCAGCCCAGAAAGTCGGGTGCGAGGTCTCTGAGGAGGAAGGGGCCCCTTCAGCCTGCCCTCCACAGAGCCACTCTTTCAGTGTAAGCCTGTTCCTGTCCCTCCCAGCTTCAGACCCTCGCTGGGTGCCCTCTGCTCAGACGATCAACCCCAGGGCTCTGCACATGGCCACCAGGCTCCCCCCAGCCTGGCTGACCTCGTCACCCCCACTCGCCACCTGCTCTCGAAGCTTTGGCCCCAAGGGCCTCTTTCTCTTTCTCCATCGCCCAGCTCCTGCCTGCCCCAGAGCTGTTCCCTCTGTCTGGAACACTCTTTCTTCCCCCTGGTTGGGAGAGGGCCTCCTCATTCTTCAGCTCAGCTTAAATGTCACTTCGTTAGGGAAGGGACCCTCCATCCCCGGGGGTAGGCCCCCATCAGTGACTCTCAGAGCAGTGACGACCACAACAGGTGGAATGATTGTTGAGTGTCTTTCTTGCAGGAGGGCAGAACTGATATCTTTCTCGCTCTTGACTCTTAAATACCTGGGTGAAGAGCTGGGGCGGTCACAGGGGAGATAAACTGGTGACCAGATGTATCTGGATGTAGGCCCGGTACCCCGAGGGGTCAGTCGTCTTTTGGGATACCAGCTGTGAATAGCGTGGCATCCACCAGCCCCCACGTGATTTCAGCCAGCCCCAGGGAGGGCTGGTGCCAGCTTGGGCAGAGGGGCCAGGAGAGGGAGAGGGGGAGACGGCCACTGGTGTCCAGGACAGGGCCAGCCCCAGAGCAGGAAATCAAGCCACTCACAATTCTGCATTCCATTCATTCAGCAGATGTTTATCCCGTGCTAGCTGTTTCTTGCGGTCTTAACATGGGTCTGAGACTATGCCAGACACTTTGCATTTGTTCAATCAATAGTCACTGGGCTCCAACTGTGAGCCAGGCACCGTTCCGATTTGTGGGTCTACCACAGTGAACAAAACCCCCGGCCCTGGCGGAGCTTACATGCTGGAAGTGGCAAGCGGACAAACATGAGTAAAAGAGAAAGCCAGGCAGGGATCGCAAGTCCTATGGAGAAAAGCTAAACCAGGAGGTGGAAAAGGAAGCCGGAGCTCATTACAATTTAAAATTCCTGTGAAAGTAGGTACCATTATGATTCCCATCTTATGGAAGAGGAAGCTGAGGTTCAGAGAGGTTGAGTGAGTTGTATAGGGCCACACAGCTTATCCGTGTTGGAGCTGGTGTTCTGGATCGATCTCTATCTATCTATCTATCTATCTATCTATCTATCTATCTATCTATCATCTATCTATCTATCTATCATCTATCACCACTCTGCCTCCCCCTACGTAAGAAACCGCGTGACCCAACCTTTTCGAAGCTTGGTTTCCTCGGTGCCCTTTGGGGCTTGAACGTTCAATGGGATAATGTCTGAGGCCCAGGGAGGGCAGGCTTGGCAAAGATTTGGAGACACGGATGGGCAGGTGGCGGGTGCTCCTGCTCGGGTGGGGAAGGGGAGAGGAGGCAGGGAGTAAGGGTACCGTCCTGCCCTTCCCAGGTGTCCTGCCTCTGTGGCTCTGCCCCCTGCATCCTGTGCGGCTGCTGCCCCTCCAGCCCCAACTCCACCGTGACCCGCCTCAGCTTCACGGCCTTCCTCTTCCTGGGGGTGTTGGTGTCCATCATCATGCTGAGCCCCAGCGTGGAGAGTCAGCTCCACAAGGTGAGGGGTCCCGGGGCAGGCAGGCGAGTGGGGCAGCCCGCGGGACAGTTGCTCCAGGCCGGGGTCCCCTCCGCGCCCCCCACGGCTTGAGGTCCCAGCTAATCGAGAAGGCAGGGCAGGAGTGCCCTGGGGCACCCACCATCCAGGGCTGGTGATGGGGGCCTTTCTTCATGTGGGGAGGAGAGTTTGAACCTCACATGGGAATTCCTGTTTCTCATAAGCCATGGGCCCCTTGGAGAATCTTACAAATCATCATTTCCACCCCTGGACACTGGCCCCCGGGGCATGCTTTTCCCTCCTTAGTGCTTGAGCACTAAGGTTTGGGGTCCTCACTCTTCCCTTCATCCCAGCATCTCAGAGCCTGGCCCAGACCCAGTGCCACATTTAGGCCAGTGGCTCTGACATTCGAGTGTGTGTGAAGGTATGAATGCCCTGGGGAGTGTGCTAGAAATGCAGATTCTCAGACCCCACCTCTGACTCTGGTTCTGTCTGAGAGGGGCCCTGGAATCTCACCTTCCCCCAGAGTCCCTGGGGATTCTGGTGTAAGTTGTGGGTGGGGAGCACTCAGTCCTGCCTCCCTCAGTGCCATGCGGTCCTGAGGCTGCGGGGGCTTCAGCAGGGAGACAAGCAGAGAGGAACGATCTGTCACTGGATCGTGTGTCCCCATCTGTCCTGGGGCCACTCACAGGACTTCAGCCCCAGGGCTGGGTGGGGGTGCTGATGGGGGGGAAGGAGGGAGCCTTGGCAGAGTCGGCCCAGGGTTCTGGGGGTGGGGGGGCCTTCATGCTGCTTTGCCTCCCCACAGCTGCCATGGGTGTGTGAAGAGGGGGCCGGGACCCCCATCATCCTTCAGGGCCACATCGACTGTGGCTCCCTGCTCGGCCACCGTGCTGTCTACCGCATGTGCTTTGCGACGGCAGCCTTTTTCTTCCTCTTCACCCTGTTCATGATCTGCGTGCGCAGCAGCCGGGACCCCAGGGCTGCTGTCCAGAACGGGTGAGGGCCCCCCCCACCCCTGCAGCCGGGACGCGCACCGTGCTTTCTGCCCCCGGCCGGTCTCCAGCCATCTCCAGGCCCTGTCCCCAGACTGTGAGCCCCCGAAGCACAGAGATCAGGTCATTTAGTTCTTCCCACTTCTCAGATGAAGAAATGAAAGTCAGAAAGGGTGAGAACATGCCTAAGGCCACATAGCACTTTAGTGACACAGTTGGGACAAGAAACTGGGTGACCACCATCACTCTGACTTAGTCCTTCCCTCTGTCCCTCAGGGATTTTTCTAGGGCCGGGACAGACTTTCTGTGCCCATCAGACCATCAGAAAGACCCTCTTCACTTGCCCAGTACCCAGGACCTGCTCTTTGGGGGTAGGGGTTCTGGGGGCCGGGCCTGGTCCCCTCCCCCCACTCAGCTCGCTGATCTGTTCTCCCCACTCCCAATAGATTTTGGTTCTTTAAGTTCCTGATCCTCGTGGGCATCACCGTGGGCGCATTCTATATCCCTGATGGCTCCTTCTCCAACGGTAGGTGGCCTTGGTGGGAAGGATGGGGGGCTACCAGGAGGGAGCTGGGGTCTCCAGAGGGAGGAGCACTGGTGGGGGTTGCTCTTTGCCTTGGCACACAGACCCCAGGCTGCTGGCTGGGTCCCCCCCGGGCCAGGAGACAGCACTCTGGTGCTTGGCCACATGGCCTTTGGGCAATATGGCGGTGGGGTGGGGGACAGGTGGGTGGAAGCTGCCTCACCCCTGCCCCATACCCTGCCACGCTGCCTCTCTGTACATGGCTAGGGGTTCCCTGAGGGCAGGGACTCTGCTTCTTCTCTGTGTCACCATTGCAGGGCACGGCACAAACGACTGTTTTTTTTGTTTGTTTGTTTGTTTTTTAAAGATTTTATTTATTTATTTGAGAGAGAGAATGAGATAGAGAGCATGAGAAGGGGGAGTGGGAGAGGGAGAAGCAGACTTCCCGCTGAGCAGGGAGCCCAATGCGGGGCTCGATCCCAGGACCCGGGGATCATGACCCGAGCCGAAGGCAGACACTTAACAACTGAGCCACCCAGGCGCCCTGTCATCCGCCTATTTTTTGATGCATTTTGGAGGCTCATGAATGTGAGACCTGGGCCAAATGACATTCTTCTCTCCTTCTTCCTGACAGTAACAGGCCCTGCTGCGCACGTATCCGCACACCACACACACCTCCATGTAAATCCCCCATGTGCACGCACCATGTGTGATTCATCCATGTCCCCCTTTCACACTTGTCTACTCCATACACATGTATCCACGTGTGCAAACCCCACACGTGTGCAATCACCCATGCACACACACACACACACACACACAGCGCCCACATGGGCATTTGTGGCAGACCCTTGATTTCTGTGAGGGAAGCATCCAGAGACCGTTTAGAATCCTC